CCGACTCCCACTTGGACCTCGAATTTGACGTCATGTCCCAGCTTGAAGCGTATTATTATGTTTGGCGTGTCAGAGTACGTGGATTACGATTATGACTATTCCCTCATCTTATGAAAACGCTGCCACTTAAATTAATCTAATTTCTGAAATTTGCACTTCATTGTTATGATTTCTCTTCCATTACAACCTTAGGGACATTAATGCCCGTTAAATCAGGTATTTGTTCAATATTGGCCTCACCACAACACCGACTACCGAAACCCATAGGCAGTGATTACGAGTGACTGACATTGTCATTTAAACCACCAAAGTGTCCAAACACAATGAAAACACTTCATTTTTACACGGCACAGTGGGCGTAGCCATCTTCAATTCTCACTCGAAATATTTGCTCGGTCTACTTTTTCCGCCACCGAGGTTTGAGTCGCGCCGTCCCAGAAAAAGGGGCGTGTAATCGAACCGTAATCGTTAGTCTAGCGCCGCTCTGAACCCACGCTCCAATTCGTCAGAACTACACGTTTCTGAAGTCACGTTGTGGGGCCAGTATTCAGGAAGTAATGCTAGAGAAAAAAATAAATAAAAATGGCACTTAGCCAACACAACGCCATCTTGTGTTCATCTTCCAGAACTTTTTATACTTCAATGGGCAAATGGAAATAAAAAAACTCGGGTAAAAACATGAATAAATCTGTATATTTTGACCATTCATTCATGTATTTGAGTGAAACAGGATTGCCCAACTTCTTCCTCTCAAAATAAATAAATAAATAAATAAATAAAAGAATCAAAAAAGAAAATCAAGTTATGCCAGTCCTAATGCAACACAGCTTTTCCTCCTGTCCCAGTTCCAATCACGTCACTGCGGCTGCATGTGGCTATCCTGTTTTGACGTATTAAACTAGTCTCCTAATCCAGACTTCTGAACTACTCCCTACACGCCTTTGATTTGTCGGGAAAAAAAAAAGTGACTCCACGACATCCTGCATTGTGCGGTTGAGCCAAAGATAACAATAGAATCCGATCTGTCCACACACACACAGTAGAGGTGGTTCATTTGACCACAAAAATGCCTCTTGTCTGCTTCCACCTGCTGCCAGGAAACTTTGAAAGAACAATCGTGGCGGCCATTACAATCAGACAGGCTTATTGTATTATAGAAATATGCTTTTCCTTTTTGTCTGCCAAGGGTTTTTGCTTCGACTTCTCCGCTAATCTCTCCGTGATGAATGGATCAAAACTATGCGACCACAGAAAAGATGAATGCTGCTTTTTGTTTCTTTCAGATTCATTCATTTGTTCAGGTCGTTTGCGTTCGTATACTAGTTTTTCCAAATACTCAGGTTATATTCGCCCTAATAATCCTGGTTTAGTCCTTGGCGTGGTAGAATACTGTTGTTGTAGTACGAATCATACATGCACGTTATCCACAGATTCTTCAGTTTTTGTGTTTCATTTTGAGAGACAGATATATTTTTGTCGTCCTTTGGATCATTCCTTACTTAAAACCGTTATTTTACACCAGGTTTAGTCCTCTCTTAGACCTGGTATAGTGCTGTTGAAGTCTTGTCATAGACCTGGCACAGATTTGGTGATAATTGGAAAGCCCAATCTTTTCTGAGAACATACTTTGTGAGAAAAATTTGAAGTGTATAACCTTTTACCCCCCAAAAAAACAAACAATCCCTAAAATAAAAGCTTTTTGTTGTTGCTTTTTTATTGCACTGAAAAACAAATGTCCTTACTGTGAGTAGGCTTGCATTTCCACAAACCTCACTTGTATTTGACCTAGAAGAGGGCCTCCCCATTGAGGACAAATTTCTTTAACAGAACAATAAAGTGGATAATCTTAATCTTAACTATAATGAGCCATAACACTTTCTTCATGGAGAATGCTCCAAGTTATGGTCTTAACTTTCTATTTCCATGCAATGATGTAGGTGATGTGCAACAAAAGTTACAGACTGTTTCTTTAGGACACAGTTATATGAATATTGTGGTCTTTCTTTAGGTTAGTTCCTTACCCAAAACTGCTCAAGTCCAGTTTTAGTCCCAGTTTAGCCACAGTTTAGACCTGGTGTAGTCTTTTTTATAGGCAAACTGGAGCCACCTAGTGCCTCTATTCAATTTAATTTCTCTCCAGAGACTAGGTCAGGAATTGGAATACACTAGACGGTTTGCAAAAACCCCAAAAGCGCGAGTCTGGGCACCAGCCAAGCAGCGAAGATCCATAGATTCTGTGTTGGTATCGATTCCCGAGGATTTAAAGCCAGAACAAAGAGAACGTTTGGTGAATTTTATTAAGGGGGAAGATGTTATTGCCCTTCTTCCTATGGGATTTGGGAAAAGGTTAAAATACCAGTTAACCCCGTTAGCGGCGCGTTACATACGTCACGGCCAAATAGCAGTGACTGGTTAAATAAAAAAAGTACTCGTCTACCGTCAAGCGAACGAATTCTAATGCTGCGAGGTCAGTGAAACCGGCTGATGAATCAGGCGAGGAATGTTAAAGGTTGACCTTGGTTAGATCAGCTAAAGAAATTCTTGGTGGATTAAAGACAGGGAAGTTCAAGCAAAAACTAATACTTATGGAAGAAAAAGTCCTTGGAAACAATACATTTCTATAAAGACAGATAAAATGCATGAAAAAGCGAGTTTTATCTGCTTTTTCACATATGGATATAAAAAAATTTAACTCACTCATTCACTAGCTTCTCCTTGGTCAGAGGCTTTTATTCCCAAGATCTACAACAAATCCTTTTAAAAGGAGCTTCGTTCCAGCTGCTATCATACGTATGAGTAAATTATAAGATATATATCTATCAATTTTACTACACTGTATTGTATTTTATGTATTTGTTCTGATCTTAGCCAAGCGTGATAGATGAATTTAATTAATTGTCCATGTAACAAAGCCATTTTGCACTGGAGCTCTGTAACACTTTATTTTGCAATTGTGTTTTTATACGTGTTTATTGTGTATAAGGTGGATCAATGAAATGTGAAATGTGGGACCAGCCTCTTGAATCTGCAAAACAAATTTACCTACGGGTATGAATAAAGCAACCTAACCTAACCACTCTGCCGTTGTCCCACATGAATCCAGCGGCATCGGTGGTAGTAGTAGTAGTAGTAGTAGTAGTAGTAGTAGTAGTAGTAGTAGTAGTAGTAGTAGTAGTAATTTTCTTATTTTGGTTGATTTTGGTTGTGAAATAAGTTGAAATGATGCTAAAGGCAACACTGTTCTTGGTTCATCAAAAGCTATGTGGCGTACCCCTCTGAACGAAGACTGACACTTGAACTGGCAATTTTTAGATTTAATGGCAATAAATCCTCCAATCTGCCGTAAGAGCTAAAAGGAATAAAAAATACAGGGTGTAAATACGCATACACAAAACTCAGCGCAAGTTTGATTATTATTTACATTCATCTTGACATCAGTCAACAACGATAACAGCGAGAGACACAAAGTTATTCAAAAGAAATATTTAAATAAATAACATACCTTTGTGCTTCTTCAGAGGGGAATCTAAATAAAGACATACAAAATATCTAAAAATATATATGTATACATTTGCTCTGTATAATGTTTTCCATTCTTGTTGTCCAGGTAATTAAACAAGTATAAACCCTTCAAAATAAAAGCACTAAACATAAGTAAGTTAATGGTGAACAACAGAAAATAGTGCAATACAAAAATAATAATTAAAAATGTCACAAGAGGTTTTAACCAAGACAAATTATACTGTAGGTTATTTACAAGCTATTTATATTTAAAGAGGCATTGTGTAACTTTTCTGTTAGAGCAGGAGTGTCAAACTCATTTTGGTCCGGGGGCCGTATCCAACCTACTTTGATCCTAAAGGGACCGGATCAGAAAACTCATGTCATATAAACCCCAAAAATAACAATAAGTTCAAATATTTGTGCAGAGAAACGCAAATCTATTACAGAAATCTTTTTAATAGATGAACTTTGATGAACTTTCTTTTACAAAATATTATAATATTATGAACAACCTGAAACTTTAAGAAAAATGCAATTTCAACACAATGTTTTAACATGAACTTGTATGTAAATAGAAATTAGTCCAGTTTTCTTGGAAAATCCTGCACTCGGCTCCACTTTTCTCATTTTTGACATTTTGCTGATGAGGGTGTCACAGTCAACAGTCAAAACGATCGTCCTTTAAGAGCGTTTGGAAAGAGACAAGTCTTCATTTGTGCTGGTCTGGTGGGAGGGGCCACGTACAGAGACGCTGGAGACACTGCTGTGCTAAGCACCGCAGGAAAATTACCAATATTTTAATAGAAAATATAATTCAAATATTTTTGTAGAAAATCAGTCGAGGGCCAGTTTAAAGGTCTTGGAGGGCCAGATTCGGCCCCCGGGCCTTATGTTTGACACCCCAAAATATATATAGCTCCAATATATCTATAAAAACAGGCATTCTGACTGTGAGCGGGATCACCTCTCCAAAGATCTAACTTGTAACTTGGTGTGGTTTGGTCTCCATGAACATAAAAAAGGTTTATCATACTGTGAAACATTCCAGACAAAGCTATAACATCTCTACGGAGAAAAGCATTTGACGGACCCTCCACCAAGTTCCACGATTTAAGTCGACTTTTTCACGTGGAAAGCAAAATCATTTCTGAGAATATACTTCCCTGGCATGTAGTAAAAAGTTATGAATTGCTGTCTGGACTGTGAAACCCGCCTGGATGACTGAAGGATTACTCATACAAAGTTGAGTCCATGTTTAGTCCTTGGTAGACAGGCTTTTGATTACTTTATTCATAGTTAAGACCAAGTTTGTGAAGTGTTTATTTACATCTGATTTAATACTCATTTGCTTAACATGACCCAGGCTAACGCAAAAGATCTCATTACACACACAGATGTAAGACATATTTATTCAATTTATCCCCTCCCGAACGCATATTTTTCTTTCAGTATTTCAATTATAAAATGTGTGCTTTTTTCTGTTTTTCTCCTTGCAGCTTTTCAAGGGGAAATTCTTCGTCTGTCAAGGAGAGGATGTGAGGAACATTACCAACAAGTCCGACTGTCTCCAGGCCAACTATAAGTGGGTCAGACACAAGTACAATTTTGACAACTTGGGGCAGGTACGGCAACAGAATCGCACTAAAGGTGGATTTATTCAAACAACTTCTGGACGTTAATTCGCTCACTTTCTTTTTTCTTTCGTACAGGCTTTGATGTCCCTCTTCGTCCTGGCGTCTAAAGATGGTTGGGTGGACATCATGTACGACGGTTTGGACGCCGTTGGAGTGGATCAACAGGTGGGTTAGTTGGTAGTTAGTTAGCAAACAAGAGTACGTATACATGTGCTCGAGTATCCGGTTATGATCACGTTTTTTGAATATCCTGGATTGAGTGTCCATGTAAACACAGTATCCTGGATAAGCCATGAGTTATGAGAAGTTATGAGAAACCGGGATACTCTCACTGGGTTTTTTTGAGAGTATGTGGCATGTAGATGCAGTATCCAGATTACTCAAAACTGGTTCCACTCTGAGCATGTGCGAACTCAAGTAACAGATACAGCAGAAACAGCCACTTTCCCAAAACGACTCAAACTTCTACCAGGACTTTTAAAGTAATATTGCTGGTTTTCAGATACTAGAATGTGGACCAGATTTCCCTGTAATTTTGATCAATGACATGACCTTAGAACTCGCTATATTAGAACAACAATATGCGTTTAACAATATTAATTTTCCTCATCTGCATTAAATATGATTGGTGTATAGAATGTTGTGATGTCCTCTGAAACCCAGCGATATGGTTTGGTAGGTTAATAGCACATTTGACTTGATGATGATAACAGAGCTCCAGAGGCTTATGTTCTGACTTGAATGTATATCTTTTAGTTGTTAGTAGCCGCTCTAAATATCCAGGACACTATGATGGCGCATGATTATCATGGAATCAAAGTCATGGAATTTTGTAAATTCAATGAAAGTTTTAGAAAAGTTATGAAATTTTAGTATTACTTTCACGCCACTACAGCATTAGTTGTTACGTAGTTAGTTAGTTATCATGAGGCTAATATAATTATTTCCGAATGTATGCGCCTTTTGTTGACAGCATTTTGAATGCTAAAAACTATAATACCAAACCATAAGGTGAGTGGAAAGGGTTAACATTTCATATTGAACTCTAAAACTATGATCAGTTCTACACGTGTAGGTGCTGTAAAGTCATTTAAAATTCACTTTAGGTCATGAAAAAGTCATGGCAAAGTTTTGAAATTTTGTCAGTGAAAAAGAGTGGAAACCCTGAACCAGGATAAGGCTCATGACCAGGATACTCGTGCACATGTGAACACACTCACATTTACATGGCCATTAAAATCAAATAATCAGATAACCTTGTAGTATGTGATGTGGTTTTTGGTGTGTGTACATGCTCAAGAGAAGTGTGATCATCAAAAACATCCTCTGACATGTGTCAGTGATTCAGTGGACTGTTTTGTATTACTGTATTTGGAAGACCAAGTAGAATGTTTAACTGTCTCTTTCAATCTTTAGCGATTTATCTTTCATTTTTGTCTTTGCCAGATTAGTCAGTAATTTTTTGCAGAGTTGTCCTTGTCTCGGCCATGAATGATCAGAAATCAGATCACTGACATCAGATGTAATTGTTGTTGTCGTATTATTTCAATAAAACTCCAGAATCAGATCAAGCAAATATATAATTATAATTTTTTATAACTTTTTTTTTTTTCCCCCCATTTATAGGTGCACTGTGTAACTTTTCTGGTGGAAAGTTCATCAAACGCTTGTCTCCATTTGGACGTCATTGCTTTGTCTGGAATGTTTCACAGTATGGCATTAACCAGACCAAGTTAGGGGTAAGATCTGGGACAAGCAACCCCGCTCACAGTCAGAATGCCTGTTTTTCAAGGTATTTTTGAGCTATAAAACCAACTGTGATTGAATAAATGTGATGTAGAGATGTTTAATGTCACACTGTGGAACATTCCAGGCAAAGCAATGACATAACCATAGAAACAAGCAGGTGATGGACCCCCAACCAAAAAGTTACATAATGCACCTTCAAAGTACTGATGTTTTCTTTTCTATATATTGTTGGTATCACAATAACATTGTATTAGACTTCACTGAATCAACTGTACTCCCTCTACTGTTGGACTGAAGTATTACCTCATCCTATTAACAACATTGTCCCCTTGCATTTGGCAGCCCATCATGAACTACAATCCGTGGATGCTGCTCTACTTCATTTCCTTCCTGCTCATCGTGGCCTTCTTCGTGCTCAACATGTTCGTGGGCGTGGTGGTGGAGAACTTCCACAAGTGCCGGCGCCACCAGGAGGCCGAGGAGGCAAAACGCAGGGAGGAGAAGAGACTGAAACGGCTGGAGAAAAAGAGACGGAGTAAGGAGAAGGAGCTAGCTGGTCGGTAGTCTTTCCACATCTTTCTGAGTCCTGCTTGAACCGAGCTTGAGCTTGAATTTTTTTTTATTTAATTTTCAAATTTTTGATTTAGTTTTTGCCTTTTTTGATTTCGCCGAATCGGGAAGAACGCAGTTAGCAAGCTTCAGTAGTTGCTGCGGTAGAACCCTCAACCCCAACGGGCTTCCCAACGTTCTTCTTACGCTGCAAAATAAGAATGTCTATATTCGTTATAATGAATTTTTACTAATCTTGTTACTGAGTAGTTTGAACTAGATTTATTTAGTTAAAAGTAAATGATTATTTTGATTTGTTTCTGCTTGTTTCTGGTTATGTTTTTGCCTTATCACGAGAAGGTTTCAGCAGTAGTCATCTGGACACTGTTTTTACAATCAAGACATTGTGGCTTGATTGCAAAAACAGTGAAAAAAGTTTCAGAGGTAGTGGTAGTCATCTGGACACTGGACACTGTTTTTGCAATCAAGACATGTTTGTTGTGATTGCAAAAACAGTGTCCAGATGACTACCTCTGAAACTTTTTGAATAATGGACCACTCTTGGACAAATGAGGAAAAACACAGTCTCTTCTCAAGCAAAATTATTCAACAATTTCATAAAAACCTTTTATTTACCATGCTAAAAATATGTCTTTGCATTGATATGAAATTATATATATTTGATAAAAAACTAAAATTATAATGAAACCAGTGAAAATATTGCCCCATTTATTTATTTTTTTTAATCTATAGACGTATTAACTAAATAACTCCAGTCAAATCGACTCAAAACAAGATTCTGAATGTCCATCATTTTAACTAACACAGATATTCAGTTTTTTGCAGCGTAATTTCTTTGGCGTTCCATTGGTCACTCGCTCTGTTCTGCAAATATTTACGAAAGCTTTTTTACATTCTACTTTTCAGAATTTTGGGTGTAAAAGAGCTTCCGTAGACAGATTTGCCGAGCTAGAACGGTCGACCACGTGGTTAGCCTCTCGCTACCTAGCTAGCATTGCTTGGTTTACCTTAGCGGTTGGGATGGCCCTCTGAGCATGGTGCATGGTCCTGGTTTTTAGAGCTAGACGGAGGATGATTTCATTGAACATTTTGGGATTTGTTGATGTAGACTTAACTCCTCCGCTCACCTCTTTGTGCATGCGGGTTAGTACAACCGAAGGAGGAGGAATAGCGCACAATTTAGCGAGCTTTTTCCCGATGTATCGCTAGCAGTTCGGCCATCTTGTGCTCCTCTCCTTCAGTTGTATAGGCGTGGTACAAAATGCTTGTTTTTTCCTTTTTTTTAATTCTTATTTTTCTTCTTTCCACTGCCTCCTATACCTAATACTTAACGCTGGCATCTCAAGTGAAGCTAGCGTTCCAACATTCTTGAATTCTCTCATCCAATTTGCTGAAGGAGCAGTGGACCTTTTTGATTTTGAAATTATTTTGTCCTTTTTTGAAAAACGTATTTTTTAACCTGACAATGCAATGTTTTCTTGAGAAATACAGATTTTTATTTTTTTTTCCTTTTAGGCGGCGATCACAGGATTGTATCTTTATTTCCAAAGGCTTACACACCAACACTTTCACAACTAACTTTCTTGGAAGTCCGTTTTTGGTTTTCCAGAATTCTTGTCATTTTTTTAAAAAGTTCTTTCCCTGGGGTTTTTGATGTACCAGGATATAATTTTTTGTTTACCTAATAAGAGGCAGATGCATGTTGTGTAGACTTGGTGTTCTTGGTGATTGGAGGCTACTTACTGGATTGATAGTTTCTGGATAAGGTTGTAGGAATGGACTCAGAACTGTTGGAAAGACACGCAGGAACACAAAACCAGCCTAACTTTCCATTGCTTCCTTCTGGCCTTACCCCATCCCTCTTTCCCTCTTTCTCTCTCTTCGACTCTCTCGTTCTATTAACTTCTCTTTCATCCACTGTTAATTTTGGCAAGAAATTATGTTTTAGTTTTACACTTGACTTAAGTTCTATTTAGTTTTAGTGATTTTGCCCAAGGATTTCCAAACATTTATACTAGTTTAGTAATTTCAGCAAATTCTCAAAACATTTAGTTAAATAAAAAAGTAGAATAGTCTTATAATGAAGCACTGTTTACCTCTGTATGTGGTGTGACACAATTCGGTTGTTAGCTGTTACAGTATTAAAAGGGAGCTCTGTAACTTTTCTGGTTGCCTCTTGTTGCTTAATTATCTCCGAGAAGATGTAGCTTTGCATGGAATTTTCCACAGTATGGCATTAAACTTGTCTGTCAAATTCAATGAACCAAACATGCAACATAATTAAAATTCTCCAGCAAAGGTAGCCCTGACTAAGCAACAAGATCCGCGATGCCCACTGCTCCTGATAAGATGGTCCAGGATTGAAGGATGGGTCAAATGCAGAGGGCACATTTCCCATTGACTTTTGTCCATAAATAAATTCCTGATCCTAATTCCTATTCCTAATAAAATCCACTCCATATTCTCTCCTATAACTGTCAGCCTCGGTGAGCTTCATTTGACTGGAGCTGAACGCTACAGGTGACGTCACACTCCCTTAGTCGACTTGTTTATACAGTCTATGACCTCAACTGTAACTAATAACAAATACTGTCAAAACCTAAAGCCCAGTTTATGGTTGTGCGCCAAATTGTCTGCATCACGACGGAGAGTGTGCGTCGTCTTGAACCCCCTTCGCAGAGTGTCTGTCGACTGACGTGCACCTCTGAAATTTTGTAACTACGCGTTGAACTGACACAGACAGCAAGGGAAAGAGCTGCAGACAATAAGGGTTGTGATTGGTCCTCTCTACATTCGTTTTACATACATTTCTGGTACTCTGCTTTCCTGCTTCATTTTGTAAACATGGACACCATTTTTAAATCCAATCCTCCTAGTGTTGTGGCGGTGAATTACTTTGTGCCGCGTAGACCTCAACGCAGAACCTTAAATCAAAAGCGATGGCGACAAGGGGACGGTGGCAGTGTGCATTGAGTTGATGCGGAACTATAATGCCTTTACTCTGCTCCATGGGCAAGTCTAAAGCCATACTGTGGAATATTAAAGGCAAAGCAAGACCTCCACCTGAAAAGTTACTTCATTTCTTTGAACTAAATTTTTGTTTGTCACCACACATTTTGTTTCTAGTTGACCATATCTGTACATCTAGTCATAGGTTTAGTTGTTGTCCCCCAAAAATGAAATTCAGAAAAAAAAAAAAAGAAAAAGAAAAATCCTACAACAGACTATCCAGTTCCACAAAATGAACGCTCCTTTCTGCTCCTCTCCTCTCTTGCTTCTTGCTTTCTGCTTGCCGCGCAACTAACTGGCTTTCATCCCTCTAGATATTATGATCCCGGGGGTGAGTTGGGCCCTATCAGACGGCACACTCAAAGGTACAGAGCATGTTCTGTGTGTCCAGTTTTTGAACAAATAGTACCCACGTTTATTTTTTATATTTTAATTTTCAACCACCAAACCACCCAACCAACCACCACCGGCCACGACCACCCTCCATGGGGGCTAGGGGCCGCTCTTCTCCCAGTCTAGCCTTACCACGCGGGGGTAGGGCCCATCAGCTATCGCCCATCAGCTCGCAGTCAGACCGAGCCATGCTGTGCTGTTTTATCTGTTGTGGGGTTGTCTTCTCACTGGTTCATCCACTGTCCACGCTGCACCGCTCACACCATGATGTACCGTAGACTACCTCAAATGTCAAGACAGTGGGTCAGGAGCTTTGTCGGTTGCAGTTGGTCTATGAAAAGCAAGAGCAGTTTGTTGAAGCAGTTGATGAAGTTGTCTCTTTCTTAAGATTTCTTATTCAGTTCTGAAAAAGCTACTACCAATAACGGTGTGTCTAAATACCTTTTAGATATTTAGACACACTGTAAACAACTAGGATGGGGCTCGTCGACTTGTAGCTCCCCGAAGGATTGGAATTATACATATTACACTGAATAATTCAATTTTGTTTCATCAGGTCACATAATTACATTTGTAAACTTTAAATGCATAACTTTGTGCTCTAACAAATGGATAATGGTTTATGTTCTAATTGTACCCCATCTGAGGCTTGTTGTTGCTGTTTTATCAACTGATGTCAGCTAACGTAAGTCAAAATGTTGGGGTGTCATTTGCATAACCTCTATATCTTTGAATTTCCTTCGGGATAATAAAGTATCTGTCTAAAGGCTGCCACACACTGCAGGATTTTTCGGTCTTAAAACGATTTTTAAATGTGCAACCAAAAGCACACAACACTGACATGAGGAGAATCTTTTGAGACTTAAAATCTCCGCTCGCAAAGACTGCAGCGAGATATGTCTGCGAATCACAGGATATAAAGTTGTGAGCTTGATTGCATCACCTGTTTCCTGTCTAGAGTAAAACGAACTTGCTTTGAGACTCTTAAGATTCTTGAGTGTTCAAAAGATTAGAGCACTGTGAGTTTGCATCTTGAGCCTCTGTGTCCATCACTCCTCTGCCCCGATGCTCTGGTTTATTGTCTGTTGCCGTAGCGTTGCTGATGTTTGGTGGTTATGATCTGACAGAGCAGCTCAGAGTCACACTGACACCACAAACATGAGGAGCACAGCAGCTTCAAAATCGCTTACGAAGACACAGACTCGAGTCACCCCTCCCTGAACTTGGGGAGAAGCAAATCGCACCCAAAATCGGGCAAATTCTCCTGTAGTGTGTTGCGACCTTAATCAAATCATCTGAACCTGACTGAATATATAGATGGACATAACTAGCCACCACATTCCAAATGGGAAGTGAGCTTTGGCGCAAAATGGTTCCATCAGAGTCTAATTCCAGTTCTCTTTCTATTGAAAAAGAGTCACCCTTCTCTCTGTAGCTTCTGACTTTGTTATTTTTGTTGGTTTAAACCCACTCAACTCTGTGAATCAATATATGAACATTAACAACAGACTTATCCAGTGCCTTCATTCCCTGAGGTAGATGCTAGTGTTATCAGCAGACTTGACTGACAGCTATCGCGCCATGTAACTATGCACTCGCGCCCTGCCAAACCAGCAGTGCAAGCAGAGAAGGATGAGTGCCTTCAACATTGGCCTGTAACGATAACAGATTTTGCTGGATGATTAGGCTAGTGGTGTCGATGGAGTATGGGTTTATGTCGACTGCTGGGGCTCGTTGTTTGCGCGATCGCCTGCATTTGACGCATGTGGGCCGTTGAGACGTATCCCACTCATTCGTGTTGATTTGGCTGTTGATCGTGACTTGTTTGGTCACAAAGCGATGAACTGTTTTGGTGCTCTGACAGTTAGTGTTGCGGTTTCATGTTCAGCGTCCCGTTCTGTACTGCGCGCGCATTCACTGTGTTGATGATCAAGTAATCCGTCTATACATCTGTGCCGACATGTTTGTTCAAGCATCATTATGGTAAGGAAACAAGAGGAGTCAGAGAGCGATAGAAGCCTTTTGACATTCAAGAGAAAGAGAGCGATGAGGAAAACAAACAAGCATCCAAATAGAAATAATTGCGGCCAGAAAAGTTATCGAGCTTGTTAAAAGTTATCGTTCGATTAACTGATTTAGTGATTATCGTTACAGGCCTACTTCTCCTACGCTCCTGATTGGCTCTTGGTTGCTATGATATACACACTTGGATTTCCAAATATGGTCCCTGCTTGCAAATTAGCCACTATAACAGCAAGCCTCAATTGGCTTCATTTGACTGAAACCAAACACTATGGGTGGCGTCATACTCCCTCAGTCCACTTCTATCGAACAGACTATGATCTGGACAGAAGTAAATTACTTAAAACTGATGCAATGTAGTTTTGCCAAAGATATTTCACATTATTTAATCCAACGCTTTTACTATACAGCGAGCAACAACAACAAACAAAAACAACAAATCAGTCACAGAAGAAGTCAAAAGTTTCATAAGTTTGGTTGCCATGAACCATATTACCCCTTTATAACCTTTAACAGTAATATTTTCCGTTATGAACCGATTTAATTATTGAAAATAAAACAGCCACAAGTCCCCCATTGAGTTTAGCAATACTCAAAGTACATAATATTCTTTCTGCTCTTTCATAAATGTGCATTACAGGATACTTGGAGGAAAGAGAAAACCCTCTTTGCCAAATTTCATTGAATTTTTACCACATGGCCTTTATGTTTGTGCCAAATGGTGTTTCTAAAGGCTCTGATTTGGTGCTGGTGGTTGCAGAGTGGACAGTTAAATGTCTTAGGGTTAAAGATCTTGGTGTTGTTTTGAAACACACTTGGACATGGTGGTTATGCAGGACCATGGAGTATTTGAATGTTGTTTTAACCCCTTACAATGCCGGTCTATTTATCCTAAAATGTCAGAATACGAAATGAAGCTGTTTCTGAACCCTTTGTAGCACAAACACATGGCTGGGTTGAGGTTCTGATTTCAAATTTTGCCTGAACTGGAATAGAATTAGAATAGGTATAGCTGGAAATGATCTGACAAACAGTAGATTGAGCAGTCAAAGCCGAGGTATACTGCATCTTTCTTACATTGAGCTTTATGGACTTGTAGTTAGACAAAAAAGTTCAGACAAAATTCATTTAAAAGTCCTCTTAGGCTACGTTCAGACTGCAGGGCTTAATGCTCAATTCAGATTTTTTTGTGAAATCAGATTTTTTTGCGAGGTCGTTCACATTTCCAATTAAATGCGACTTGTATGTGATCTCCAATGTGAATTTTAAATGCCCCGAAAGTGTCCCGCATGCATATTGGAGGACACAACCGCATTTTTACGGACGTGTTTACGGAAGTCGCCTAAACGCTCGGCTTGTCTCCCAAAATACGGTCCAGTTCTTTGTAAAATGGACAGGTTACACATCCACGGCCATTTCGTTTGTTTGAGTCTTTAGCCTCTTTGCATTTGGTTCGCAGGCTCTTTATTTTTTTGTTGACTTTGGAGCCAGAACCATCTGTTGCCGCACTCTGACATTTCTTTGGCAATCATTTCAAAAACCGCCCAGTTCCGATAAGACCCCTCCAATTTGACCTGAATCTAGCGGTCCCCCCAAATATGAATAAACTTACTAACCTCGCTTTCCCTCCATTGACTAGACTCCGAGCCTGACTTATAGGTGGGATGAATGTGACCTGACAGTTCAGACTGAAGTCGCATGTAAAAAGATCGGATATGTATCGGTTTTAGCACCACACATCCAAGTGACCTGGGTCGCATTTGAAAAAATCAGATCTGTGTCGTTCAGACTGTCATTAAAAGATCCAATACAGGTCACATAGGGGCGGAAAAAATTGGATTTGGGTCAGTTAAGGCTGCAGTTTGAACGTAGCCTTAGATTCTTCCCAGGATGGTGGATCTGACTGAAAATAAATGGGCTACAGATTTCCATTCATGTTTCACACGTCCAAGAGATCGAGAGTTCACATTTATCAGTAGCTGGAGAAACAAGAATTAATTAAGAAAAAAGTTCAAGAGCCCTTATCAGCCCCCTCGGAATTTTTAACATATATTTTTGAACTTTATGTGATTGTAATAATTATCTTTACTTACCAAGATCTGAACGAAGTAGCGAAAACTTTAAACCAAATTATAATGTATTGTTTTTTTCTCTTCAAATTATGATTCCATTTAGTTTGAACACTTTAAGGACAAAGTTCGCTCGTACTATCATCCATTTGAGAAACAAGGGAGAGGAGTATTTTACTGTAGAGTGTGGAACAGTAAAGTACAGTAGACTGAAGTGAACTAGAATACAATTTCCCTTCAGAGCACCATCACAACACAATCTGCGTGCATCTCGCTAATGAAACTACTGCTCATCACATCAGGTTTATCAAGTTATAAACAGTTTTGTATCATGTTTTTGTATATTATTGAGGATTGTCATGTGGGAGTATGCGTGACGTAGGCTTGTGGGTTGAGGATTGCACAGAATCTTGCAGCTAACCGTAAGGAGGGCTCAAATAGTATAGTATTCAGTAACACGTAATCTAACCACAGCAGGCCTACTGTATAGTTATCTAGCTTTGTTTACATCCACATGAATGACGTCAAAGTCTGTCAGCTCGAGTTCAGTCCACATTCCTGCCGCTCTGAGCCCACTCTGTCTCCTCACAGTTGTGGTGAGCTGGAGGACATCTTCTGTGCCGTCACTGGTTTGTTTGTGCTGTCTCTGGATAAACTTCCTGAATCACAGCCACTCGAGAACAGAAAAAAAACAAAAACAACTACAACAATGACATCTGAATAGACCCGGCCCCACAGCCCAGGAATAATACTGATTGAAGGGCTCATGCTAAACTTAAAGGTCCCCAATGTGACTTTTCTAGTGGAGGGTTCGCCACCTGATTGTCTCCATGGAGATTTAATCACAACATGATAAAATTAGTATCTGGCACCCTCTGCTG